ACCTGCAAACAACGCAAAGGAAAGATTCATCATGCTGAAGTTCTTGTTTAAACTTGTGGAAATGAACATGTCACCAAAAGTGTTCGTTTTACTCCGGCGAAAGGTTCCGATGTCGCAGAACATGCATGTTTACAAGGCGGCACCATTGACTTTGCGTGGCTTTACTTGCAACAAAATGATAAAGAGACTTACTACGCTTTTTAAACACGTGGGGCGCTTTCCATTCAACCCAAAATTCCGGAAATTTCGGTTGGTACATCAAATGGAAAGGACCATTTCGGTTTAGTCCGACCGTAATATTCGGTACCAGCTTTGAATGTGGTCCACTTTGACCGGTCCGCTTATCTCTGTCGGTCGGACCGAAATGTCCCTTTCCATTTGACAAAATTGTTGTCCCCAGTACCGCTCATTTGTATCCCGCTTACAAGAACAATAACCAAACGCCCCGTAGCTTGGGTCGGGTCTGGGCAACCGGAATGTGCTTTTTCACTGGGCACGTGGAATTTCTGAAATTTCAAACCGGAATTTTTGCTGAATTGAAAGCGCCGTGAAAAAAGCCAACTGACGTTTACGTTCTCCGCTGCCGTCGATCAACTTAGCGGTCTTCTTAGGAAACAGAGGTTTACTTCAGCGGGTTCAAAAGGTTATGGTTAAGACAATTTTTGTGTTGTGTCTACCTACTCCGCAAAGCGGGCGCGTGAAATTAGCAAGTTTCATGTCGCATTCGTTGCGCAGTCGTGCAACGACGGCTAGGAAATGTGCAAAACAGCGTGAAACACGTGCGAAGTTGCTGTTTTGCTGGCAAACTGCTAATATAAGCCTACTATTGCTTTTTGCCGTTCTTATTGCTGTTGCCGTCGTCGTTGCAAACGAAAAATATGGTTATGACAACACTTTATGCTCCTTCCTCGAAATAATTTGAAAAACTTTATTAACGAAGAAAGAGTTACTTAATCCTGTTATAAGGATATTTAAAAAGAAATACGGATCGTTAACGTCGCGATACACTCGATCCCACTTGTATATACTACTATTGCATCGGATAATTCACTGCTTTATTCCACTTAGGTGATATAGTTGACTCGACAATAGATAAAACGTTCAAATAAGCTTACCTTTGATGACCTTTAAGAAAGCCCCACATTTCGTCTTCCCGCGTTCATTAAATGCTTCGCAGATGTATTCACCTTCATCTTTAAACGATATATTCTGCACAACAAACATTGCTTCTCCCCTGTAACGATGACCATTATTATCGCTATTGACAATACTCAAAACCTTAACTGGTAAGACGTTTGTAATCCGTACAAATTCCTTATGGGATGTTGAGTTGCTTGACGTGTTTGTTTCCACGGTTTTTCCCTTGAAGTACCATCTGACGTAAGTAACAGAGTCACTAGCCACGTGACAATGAAAAATAACCTCGCTTCCAAATACTGCAGTCTTATTAGACATTGACGATTTCTTAATAATGGGATAACTGGAAGAAGACTCTAAAAAGAATATAAAAGACAATGGAGAAAAATTGCTAGATCAAGAGTAAAGAGATTTTTTTGCGCAGATACTTTGTCTCTGTCAAGAGGGTAGGAGGCGACTTCAAAAAGGGAGGTCAATTCAAGTATTAGTTTTCTTACCTCTGCATGAAACTCAACCCTTCTCTTATCTCCCCAAAGGAGACTTACACTTTATGTATAATAACAATAACTGAAGAGTATGTCTAAATGTCACGGGTCGCGACTCGCGGGTAGAGGTCGCGGGTGCGGGTAAAGTTCGCGGGTGCGGGTAAGTGTCGCGGGTAAAAATAAATCACCAAATTTAACAAAAAGATAAAATAAACAACAACAACAAATTTTTTTAAAATTTTTTAACGAAGACTAGTTAGAAGCACTAAGGAAGTCTTATTGTAGTTGTACGCTTTTTCGTTTATCTCCGACACGTTTCGTCTCCTACTAAGACTTCTTCAGGGAATGAATACAACTGACAAAGAACAGCATATACAACACGTTTTCTGCGTAAGTAAAACTTCCGATAGAAGTCTGAATAATAACTAAACTATGCTGTAAACGGACGTTATAAGAAATGTTATTGCGTGTTGTTATATTTTGGGGGCCATACGATCAGCGCTAATCGTATGGCCTCCCAAAACTCAACGGAACTATCGAACTCCATCAGAATAAAGAACTGATCGAAGTAAACCTGGAAATGTTCTTCCTTTTTGTCAGTGAAAGTTTTATCCACGTGCACGGGTATTGTTGCCGTGATCAAGCCGCCAGTAACGTGGGAAAAATTCGATTTACCAGGATGGCAAATTCTTTCGTGCTACCGCGCCAAAATTGAGGACGAACGACGAATGACAACTCTCAATTCATACTTTTTGGTGAGGAATTAAGTACACGCAAGTCTCATTTAGTGCAAAAAAAGTCAAAGCTGTATTTTCGATGAACCAAATTGTGTCTTCTGAATCATATATACATAGGGTAAAAACCATTTTTTTTAAGTGGACAAGTCACATAAGCTGACACTGCGGACCCCTACACTGAATAAAGAAGGGGTCAAGAATGTCGTTCAAGGGGAGGGGAGAATTCTTACTTCAAAGAAGTAGCCACCTTTGTAAGATCTTGCTCGAGGTCTTAATCATTTCTTTTTATTTAATTTCAAGAGCTCGTTGTTGAAAAACAAAAAAAGGTTCTAATTGAAGTATTATAAGGTCTTCTTAAATGTAATAGCTATCTCTAACTCTTTCCTGTCTAATCTATCACAGCGCTAAACCCTGGTTTCACTTGCCATTCCAGGTCTTGGGGCGAGGAGGGGGGGTCTTGACGAAATTTTGATTTTTCCATTTTTTCCTCAAAAATGAAGATAGAAATGTACTAGCCATGGAGGAAACAAGATTTAAGACTGATCACTCGTAACATGGTAATGATAAAAAAAACCTACTGGGAGATTACGCATTTATGCGACCAAAATTAATTTTATTTGTCTCGATGTGCAGAAAAAAGAAAAAACGAAGTATTAGTTAAAGTTAGTTTTTCAGTCCGATACGGTTTCGGCTGTTTAAGGCGGGCACTGAATTTTTACACTCCCTTTTCAATACACTTCGCTGCTACATATAGGTAATATAGAAGTCAGCAAAGGACCAACTACTTTTTTGTAATATTGCAACTTAGTACCCTTAAACCTTTGGGCGTACAAGGTAGGGGAGTGGGTGAAATCCCCGGAAGGTTTTTTGAATCAACCACCAAGACAAGTCATCACATATCCACTGATACTTTTCTTTTCTCTATCAGAACATTAACCTCCTCCCCAACAAATCCCAAACGCGGGTAGCTCGGTTACTTAGTGCAATTTTAACTAGCCGATGTAGTTTTAATCATGTGGATTTTTCTTTAGTGACTTTTTCCTTTGTATCGCCCTTAGTTAGCTTTAAAGTATTGCAAATATTCTTTGAAACATAATCAAATTTTCCTTTATTTTATTAACAATTTAATGTTAAATTTGGAAATTTATGTTTGCCCGCGACCTTTACCCGCACCCGCACCCGCGACCTCTACCACCCGCGACATTTAGACATACTCATAATTGAATTGGGGTTTCGTACGAAGTAAATAGTTTTGCAGCCGATTTAGATTTCAGCTTCCAAGATCAGCGAAAGCCAAATGCTATAACTGTATTACAATTATCCATTCCAAATATCCCTAATCTTTTAACAAGCTTAACTCCTAGTAGATGTTCTTTAAAACTTTGGCCTATTTCGCGGCGCGGGTGTCAGGATATAGACATAGTATCCATCGAGTGGTAATATGTCTTCTTCTCAGATTTTAGGTGCTATTTCGTGTTCGAATACTTGTCGTGAACGCTTTTTTAGAGGTCACTATTCCCAAGCGACATTGATCGATTCCAGACAAATAAACCATCGATCAACCTAGCTAGTTTCCAAAGAAATATACCATCGAATCGATGACATACAGTAAAAACCCACGAGTAAGAACCTAAGATTTAAGAACCTGTTAGGCTAAAATTTGCAATTTATGCCCCCTCTTTTTCAGAACCTCTTTAGTCTAAAATTTGGAGAAAAGTTCTTATTTTCAAAAATCATTTAAAAATATTTACTAACTGCAATTGCAAAAGGCAAGTTAGGACATATATAAATGTTGTTTGATTGAGGTCATTGAGAAAATGTTTATAATATTGTGTTTTACAGCACAATCATGTATATAAAGTTGTTTTGACTCAAGAAACTAAAATTCATGTGAGAAAAGATCTCTGTTATGGTCATGTTAAAATATAAGCAACATTAGGTATGCAAATTTAAGGGTGCTGATCACTAAAATCTTCATAGCAACGACATAATTTTTTGCAAGAAATTAAGAAGCTATTAAGAACCTAGATAGCCTAAATTTATGTTAACCTCCATTTATGTAAGAACCTGTTTAGGCTAACCCTGGAAAATGTAGGTTCTTACTCGCGGGTTTTTACTGTATTACTAACATCTTCCCAATAATTAGTAAGCGTTTGTTATTTATGAAGAATTCGTTGGGAGATTGGAGCTACTGGTAATCACAAATTAATGATGAAGCATTTTGAATGAATTTGAATACAGTGCTAAGTTTTTTTATGCTTACTCCAAAGTTAGTTTTCGTAGGCTAACTTTTTGAACAAACTAGAGGGTTAGGTTTAAACTAGAGCAGACTTTTTAGGATTCATTAAAGTTTAATCCATACACAGCAAAATATTTACTCACCATAAACGCGTAAGGCAAAAGTCTTACCCAGTGTGTTATTTACAGAGCAAGTGTAATTTCCTGAATCTGCAAGCAGCAAGTCATCTAAAAGCAGCTTCCCGGATTTTGACTGACCATCTGTCCTTCGATATGTTATGTCCCGAAGTGGGGCGCCGTATTTGAACCAGGATATTTCTGTATTCGATTGACTAGCAACAGAACAATCTAGTTCTATGGTATCTCCAACTTTTGCAGATAGAGACTGAACAGGTAATGAAGA